TTATTGATAAGTTAACTCCTAGTGAAGATCGTGCTGAACTAAACTTCGACTTAGAAAATTTACGAAAATTAATTCCTAGCATTTCTGGGTATAATAATTCTCTTAGCAAGGAGCAAAATAGTGCTTATCAGAAGAAAAAAAGTGAGGTTGATAAAAAAGAATTAGAGTTAATTCAGGCTTTGGCTCTACTAGAAGATGATGAAAATAAATCGTGAAATAATTCTAATACTCCTTTTGATTTAGATGACGAAGAAAAAACACAATTAAAAAATGTATCCAAAGAGAATGTTCAGGGAAAGAAAAAAGAAATTCGGGAGGATCGACTAAGAAGATGAGAAAATGCCAAACAAGAAGTTAAGAAAACTTTTCAAACTTTTCGTAGTGTCATTACTGGTAATAATCAACAAGTGATTAAAGATACGGTTGAAAAATTGAAAGCGTTTCGTGAGGGGACACTTGCACAGATAGCAACCTTGGCTTTGATTGAGGTAGAAGAACGGAATGTTGATTGAGAAACTAGAGCCAAAAATCAAATAAACCAAATTGAAATTAACCGACTAAGGGCAGAGGAATTAACTAAATGAGATGAAATAAAAGTTGCTATTGAAAATGCAACAGAGTCTATTCTTTTGGAAAAAGATGGAGATTTAGATAAACGAATTAAGAATTTGTGCTATAATTTATTGCCTGCCGACAAGCAACTAACAACCTCAAGCAGCAAACTAACAAGTTACTACAATAAATTAAAAAAATGCGAAAAAGAATGTGATGATATAATTGAAGAAATCACCAACGCTAATACCTGAGAGGAACTAAAAACGACTTACGAAAAAACTTCTTACAATCCCCCTCCTCTTTCAACGATAAATTTTTCTTCTGCGAAATCAGAAAGTGCCGAAACACGAATTCTCGATGCTTATAGTAATAAAAACCCTCAATCTCTAATCGAACAGGAAGCCCGAGAGATTAGTCAGTTTATTGATGGTTGAGAAGATATTGAAGACGTTGCAAATGAAACATTGATAATTAGTCGGATTGGTGAATTAGAGAAAGATTTAGAAAAATATAAGAACTTAAAATTGCCAACTGGTAGAATCATCCAGTTTAGAAATATTCTAGACAATAAAAAAACAAAATTGACTTTCCGCAAAGCATTTAAAACACAAGCAGGAAATAATAATATTGATGGTGCTAAAATTGATGCTTATTTTAATAAAGGATTGACTGCGGAACAGGCCGCTGAGTCTTATAATTATCATAATTCCGAGGAAAGAATAGAAGCCGACGAAATTAACCAACATGGCGAGGTTGAAATTGATGGCAAATCTTATGACTTAAAAATTACTGAGAAGTTAACTGGGGTTCGTCAAGTTAAATACATTGTTGTTTTTCTCAATGCTCCCGCTAGTCAGGTGGCTGGTGCCAATCATGAACGGATCAATAATGATTTTGCTGGCTTTTCTGATAATCCGGAAATAGAAGTAGCAAGAAATCAGACAATTCTTTGCTGAAGAGAAAAAAAATACTCTGCCGCTGAGGCTCGGGTTTGTTATGATAATTATTGAGATGCTGCTGATGTTCTAGACCGAGGTTTTAATAATGGTACTGATAATTATCCTTGTGGTCCTTTAAATTTCACTAAACTCCAAGCCTGAGGAATTAAAAAAGTAAATAAATATTGAGAGCGTGCTGTTAATGATGAAAAATTGGCTTCGCAATCCGATAAGAATAATATTTTAGGGAACGATTGAGAAAATAAATTTAGCAAATTAATTGAATGATATGAAGTTAACAAGGAAAAAGACCGCTTAATTGCTTTGATTGACCAGGAAATAACAAATCAGCAAAATTCAAGTAAACAATATGATTCAGAATCTCCATCTCGATCAGACAATAATGATAATATTCCAACCGGCGATAGTCATGTTTCTGCACCCGACAAAGGAGGTGAAGAAAATAGTTCTTCAACTTCTGATGAAGAAACCCAAGGACCTGCAGGCTTTGAGGGAGCATTGAAAGAATTAGAAAATAATTTTCAAAAACTCAAAGAAGAATTTGCTAAACTTTCTACCAAGGAGGAAAAAGATCAGGTCAATGAAAAAATAATAGACTCAATTATCAAGTTGGCGACAGATAATAAAGATAATAAAGATAATAAAGATAATAAAGATAATAAAGATAATAAAGATAATAAAGATAAATTTGTGA